GCATAGTGATTCTGATTTGCCAGTTACCATGTTGTTCCAGAAAATTAATCATTCTTAACATACGAATTATGTGCAGTTGTACAGTTTTGTTTGCTTTAACTCTCCTCAGGGCAACACTCACATTAAAAAATTGTTTTCCTCAGGTTTAGGGAAATATGGGTTTCCAAGAGATCTGCAGTTGAATGGTTGCTGGGATTCTTCCTTCTGAGGTCCTCTACCCTTTGAGGATAGAAAAAAAGTCAACATTCTCTCAGCTTTGCCAAAATGACCAGCAAAAGCAGTGATGAATGTATTGAGTACAAATGCTGTCCCTATTTCCAACGTAAATATATTTTCTCTTGTATAAAAGTTGTTTTTTATAAAGGACAATCCTTCGCAGAAATAAGTAGTATTTCAATTGCTTACTCTTAAGTGAGAGCTATATTAGGCACAAACACACACAGAAAAGACACATGCACAGAGAAAACTATGATGTCTTCCTGAAAGAAGAAATTCGTTCACATACTGAATCAGTTAAACATACTTAAATCAGTTCACATACTTAAAAATAGGTACTTATGGAAGTCAGGAGGGACTAAGATAAATTTATGCAACTAAAAATTGTAACAAGCTAAGAATTAATAGTGGAAAGGAATCTGGATGAATTTAAAACATTTCTTCTTACATACACTATATTTTCAGTAACGGTATCTCAACATTACAGCTATTAGTCTCACTGCAAAGCTACTTCAATCTCAGTAGCAGCTTGGATTATCTCCAAACAAGTGTTTCTTTCTGTGGTCTGTACAGCTTCTTCTGCAGTCTCTTTTATAGCTCTCATTAAAGGTAAGACTGACCAAGTTAAAAAGAGATAGCAAGGCATCTTATTCTGTCATCAATTTCCAGCCATTGGATTAGACTTTATAGTCACTTAATCTAACCTTCTGAATTGCAAAGGTGACATTTTTCCCATCAGTTCTTATATGTATCTTAGAACTTTGTGTTGTCATTTAGTATTGCAGTATGTGAACATAGCATCTGGTGGAGCTATAAAATTTATTTTTGAAAGAGTCTTAATTTAAAGAGTTGCAGAGACAGAGTTCAACAGAATATCGATTATAAGATTCTTGTGTTTAATTATTGTCAGTTTAAAAAATGAGAATGTAATTTCTAGCATTAAGTTTCTCTTCCAGCTAGTGGATTTTATGATAAAACATTGAATGTTTCTTCAAATCTGGAAGCCCTGTTGGCAAAGAGAAGCTGAAACAAATCTTTTTTGTCCCAGGAACAAAGAAATCAGCATGTATGTGTTCCCATCAGGCAGTGGTGATGCCTTTGAGTGTCAGTTTGCTCCCAAAGGTACAATTACAGCATATGTCTCAGAGGAAATACATATTTTGTAAGGCTAGAACTTGAGGAGTGAAAATCTATAAGACTCAGAATGGCAAAAACACTTTTATTAACTTCTATTAATGTAGAAATAAGATAAAGAGGCAAAATTCACAATCTTTCTTTATAAAAGACAGTAATTGATTTATGCATTTTGGATGCTATGGTCTTGAGGTACAGAGAAGATAGAGTGCTACTCTGGTTTAACTATATGACCAGCCATGACAAGAGAGAGAGTACTAGTATAAGAAATGCTTCTTTAAAGAACCTTTGAAATACAGAGGATACATCAGAGTATGCTGCCAAAAGTATCCTGGAGCACTTCAGAGCAACAGGATCACTAAGGCAGTGAAGTGTGTTTTGTTATATACTGCTTTTGTCTGCTACTTCTCACGTAGTCTGGCAGCAAAGTCTGACCAAAATGCCCATATGTATAATATGCGTATCTGCCACATACCCTTGAAATCATAAAATGTGAAGATGAAAAAATTTAATTCTCAGTCAGAGTCACTTAAGATGCCTGGGGAAGGCAATAAACCTTATTTCCGAGACATAGGGGGCCTGGACATCAGAACCATCAGAGTCACTGGCAGAAGTTCACATGTTATGCACCTCATGCAGAGAGAGAATGTCTATATGCAGTACTGGAAAGCTTACTGTTTATGAGATTGAAACTATAAAACCTTGCACAATAGTCCTGCAGTGTTCAAGAAACTGATTAATTAGATCTATGACATTTTTTTCACTCTTGTGCCAAGAATCATATCCATATCTGAGATGATAACCTACTTCGAAAAAAACCGACTAGATAAAATGTATTTAAATCAAGTTTTTCCTCTCCTTGTCAATAGAACTAAAACACATACGCTTTCTTAATTTATTTAGCATATCTGTGATAGAGGTGTAAAAAGGGCCATCCAGACAGCTCCTTTCTTTTTCATTTTCATTTTCACTTACCTTGGAATTTATTTTTCCCTCTGAGATACACCAGAGGCCAGATTACACATCTTTCAGGGGGTGTTTCTAAGTCACTAAAGCTAGTTATCACAGTTGGTACCTTCTATTCTGTATGTTCATCACTGATTCTATCTAATAGTGTTCAATAAAAGTGAGGAAACTGGGACATTGTATCTTAAAAATCATTTAGATTTTCAGTGGAAAACAGACATTGTATCAAGAAATTTGTGAAAAAAAAACCACACTACCTGTTTGTTTCACAGTAATTCCAAAGACGCAGCATGAACTGTTGCTATAAATAACATTAGAAATGCTTTTGAATTAACTGTGTAAAAGGAAATATGAATATGCAAAAAACATGCAGAGTAATTAGAAAAAGATGTTGAGCTAAAAAAAAAATTTAGAAATGGAGGAGAAAAACAAGGAGTATAGTAAAGGGAAAACATAGAAAGGAAAAGCTAGTATGCTATCAGAGTTTGCCTTTTCCTTCTTAGGAGAAATATAAAGAAAAGAGAAAGAAGAGACAGAATTTCAAAATAAGCCTTACAGGATAGTTTTGAAAATCTGAGGAGATAAAAACAAACCCACATATCAAGACAAAATATCAAGTCTGTGTTAGGAATATATTTAAGATGGCTAGTATGGTCTCAAACTTTCTTTCAATCTGTTACTGAAGCAGACAGGAAAAAATTTAGATACAACTTACTATGAGATCCTGTGATATAGTTTGCTGCTAACTTTTCCTCTTTTTATAGATTTAACCAAATTCATGACACTTGTAAGCAAGTGATGCCTTTGAAATATTATTATTAAATTATCATAGCTTTAACTACTACAACTAGAAGTATATGGGGAGGTTCAACTTCTTATTTAAAAGGGCATGTATCATACTTCCTCTTTGCTGAAAAGGTAGAATTGAAACAAACCAAACAAACAACTACAACAACAAAGCCACAACTAAGTAAAGCGACTATTTAATCATAGAATCATAGAATTATAGAATCATATAGAATTATAGAATCAGGCTGGAAAAGACCTTCAAGATTATCAAGTCCAACCACAACCTAACTGTACTACCCTAACTGTAACAACTGTAACAACTGATAGCTAACTCAACTCAACTGAGCACCACAGCCAAACAATTTTTAAACACATTCAAGGATGGGGACACAACTACCTCTCTGGGGTGCCCATTCCAGTACTTAACAATCCTTTCTGTAAAGAAGTTTTTCCCAATATCCAACCTAAACTTACCCTGGCACAACTTGAGGCCATAAAAAGAATGTAGAACTTTGGAGAAAAAATGTTTACAAGGTACTTGTTTTATTTAATAGTTAATCTCAAAAAATATTACATTGCTATCTATCTGTCTGTCTATCTATCTATCTACCTATCTATCTATTTATCTATTCATCTAACCATTGCTATTTATTATTTGGGAAAAGTTCTCCTTTTACTTGAGAAGCCTAAGCACATCAGACATAGCAAATGACTGCCTATGTCCCAAAGAAATCAATGAGAAATTTCCTTTGAATCCTTGTCTTGAGGTGGGCAGTGCACAACTCTCACAGTGTTAGAAGAGGCAAAAAAAAAAAAAAAAAAAGGTCTACATGATATATGGAAGAAGCAGTTTCTTTCAGGTATCATTTGAATATAGAGCGTCTAAGTGCTTTAACTGCTGTGAAATTTAGTTTTCATATTAATTTTCTTGGAATAAGCAAGAAAATCTCTTTCAGCAGCACCTCATGGGTCAGGTCTGAAGAATACAACCTGTCTGACAACTGCTTCCACCTTTGTGGGTTGTCAGGTGAAAACTAAAACTTTTGTGGTGTTCTTTATGACACGCAGCACTTCCATTCTATTCACCTAAAATCTAAAAGTTATATCATTAATACGTAGTATGCCCTCGAATACAGAAAATCAATTTGTCCATTTTGAAGTATTTACCATATTTTTATCCCATTTTGCAATTGTGGGGTGTACTGATTACATCATGTCTAAGAATACCAATTTTTGTTAGAGAGATTTTAGCTAAGTACTTAAAGACACTGGAAATCTGTCAGCAGCAGGCAAGGCAGAGCTTCATATAAGCATCAAATTTTGTCAAGAAGATTTGTGTTCTGGATGTTAATGAAGGGCACAAGAGAGAAAGGACCAAGTGGAACAGAAAGCTTGTGTGAATGTCTTCAAGCCTCCGGATGAGCTCAGGGCAGACCCTCTGCCTATGAAATCATTTTCTATTGTTAGCCTGCACAAAATGTTTGGCTGTAAGCCTACTGCAAAACTAAGCTGTTTTTGTGCCAGACTACTGTTGTGAGGACATTGTATGACTGCTACTTTGCACATGCAGAACAAAGAATAACAGATAATTTTTTTTTCTTCTCTGTGAAATTCAGTTTAATAACCATTATTGTCATTGTTTACAGCAAATGATTAGAAAAACCTATTCAGGCAGATGTGTTTCCCTTCACTAGAGATGAGAAAATTTAACTGTCCTAGTCAAATTAGAGAGAATTTGGTGAGAGAGAATTCTCTTGCCCACGCTGTGTCCATTGATGTAGGTGCACTTGAGCTGAGCTGAGCTGTTGGCCTCACCCCCAACCTTGGCATGGTCCCCCTAGGCTCATCTTCTGTTTTACTGGTTGTAATAAACTACTCAGGTTGACAATCTTGAATATTGACAGTCATACCTTTTTATTATAAGTTCACATTACAGTTTCTGTTCATTGTCTTCAGATTTGAAGGTGGAAGGCTGTAAAAAGAGAAAGTAGAAAGTACTTTTCATAGTTAATTTGGTTCATCTCTGTAGGAAAAGTGTGATGATATTGATCATGTCACAAGCTCCTTCTCTGTCCTAACTGACATTACTAACTAACTAATATAATAAATAACATTACAGTTTTACATTAATTATGAAGCATTTTAAAAGGGGAATAGGTAGGAGAAAGGATGGATGTAAGAACTCAATAAAATGTTATCTTGTTTGACATGAGTTTTAACAGAAATGCTTATCAGTCTTGAATGTGATTCACATTCTGTCAGCATGCTCAAGAAGAGGTAGGTTTCTTTGTAGCATAAGTAAAATGAACATCATTCATAATGTGAAATAAATACACAAAACAAGTATCCTAAAACATTGTTTCTCCAAGGAAAATGCTACTGTCAAAAGTCATAAATGATTTATCATGAAGAAGACCCTAGATAGTTTTGTTTCTCTCCTCAGGACCCACTGACATTAATTATTTCCAGGAATCAAGTAAACTCCTCTAGGTAAAAATATGTTCTGTGAAATGCAACTCTCTTAAAGCTCCACTTACATTTCTCTTGACATTGATCCTAAACTGAGGTTATATGAATACTTCCAGAGAAGTAAGATATGTAAATGAATGAATACACCATATGAACTATGTTAAGATTATTTTCCTTAGACTGAAATGATCACTGGAAGCCATAGCATTTGTTTTTACATTTCATTTGAAATTAACTACTGGTTATGGTAAATATTGGACTAAATAAAGTATAACCTCCTCAACAAAGAGTTTTACCAAGCTGAAACCATAGTACATTTTCAAAATTCATTAATCTACTGGTGTTTGCCAAATTCTGAATAAACTACATAATTGTTCATAAATCAGATATTTCACCATACTAATCCCATATGTTGAAATATACATATATTGCCTTCTAAAGTACTATTGATGGTGTGACCTTTTGCATTGATGAATGGATAAAAAGGTCATATCTGTGTAAGCTCATGTTTTATCTTTATTTTTCAGAGCATGCTCAGTATGACTTATTCTGACAAGATACTACCCTGGCATGATTAGATTATATTCAAAGGCAAAAGTGTTTGTTTAGCTTTACTGACATTGATTGTGGATTTTGCTGTTACTGTTTGTTTGTTTGTTTGTATAAAAACTGATGTGATTTCTGTTAATCAGGTCTCATATATCTGCTCTGGTAGTTTTATAGGTTAGCACCTAAAATTATGCTATAAAGTGGGGATTTACAATAAAATTCCATCAGGACAGTCTTGCATTCATCTTTTTAGAAATTCTATCAATTTCCATAAAAAGCAGATAAACAAAGCAGAACAGCAACAAAATAACAGTGTAAATAACCGTGTTTCAAATTGCAGTTTCTACAAGTAATAATCTCTCCATAGTGTGGCTTCCATCTTAAAGGGTATCTGAATTCTTCTGGGTAACCAGTGCTGAAATATTTTTTTCTAGCAATCTAGATGATGGGGAAACATTTTCCAGTGTCCAAAAAGATTTTTAAAATGCTGTTGATCTTTTTGATGACTGATGCCCTGAAGTATCAAGGGTTGTGCTGGCAAAACAGCATCATGTCTGCAAGAAGATGATGTAATGAGAAAACACTAGTAGATAATAGCTAATACACAGAGAGTGGAAATTTTGCCCCATGCTCCTATGAACTAAATTAGTGATAGATGTTATTTTCATGAGATCACAGTTCTGGAAAATTAAGGATTGCTCCAAGGCTATAAAAGAAAGAAAGAAAAACAAAACCAAAACCAAAACAAAACAAAAACCCACAGAAAATATAGATGTTGCTATTAGTGGTAGAGTCAGGACAGTTTTTGATTTGTGATGGATTAATTTTACAGTGTCAGTGGAACTCAGTGTTTAAATCCTTAAACCCTTCAGTCCTTCAATCCTCAATGTGCACTGAGTGCAGTTTTTCCATATCAAGCCATTAGCCCTGTTTAAAGGATACTCATTGTATTCTTAAAGATCTAGTTTAAAGAGCTTATTTTTAAGTCATAAATCTCTGATGGAGCCTTCTATAAGTAAGTGTACAGCAGTGGCACAGTCAGTCAAACAATCTACATTTTGTGAGAGAGTCTGCAATGGATTGATGTCCATGTAATAGTACCAGAAGTGAAAGGCAGCATCTGAAGGCCATCAGCCCAGAAGTTGAGTGTCAGAGATATGGCTCAAGCATAGGGTCTCAGACTGAAAGTGAGGTATATGCCCAAGGGAGAGGTTTTCACAAGTGCTATGCTGTTAATATTGCATAATTTATGAGAAGCTAAGACACGGGTGAACCATTTTCTATTAAAGGAGAAAGACCCTGGTATTGCACATAAGATTTTGCTCAGCCTTATCAAGATCCATTTTTTCTGCTTGAATGAAAGATCACAGCAAGGTGTGTGTTGTAAAGCAAGCTTATAAGATCAAAATGAAAATTGAATTCTTACAGAGAAAATATTTTAACAGTAAAAACTGCAGAATTCCCCTGAAAGTGAGATTCAGTCCAATTTGACACAACAAATTATTTACTGTTCAAGGGAGTACCACTAACAAATACAGATTACATGTTTAAAACCCTGTTTTGCCTGAAGCTAGTGTACCTAGAAGATGTATTAACTGTGCAGCTCGCCTATTTGTGGGGAGTAGAAGAAATTTACCTCTATTAAAGTATCAAAGGAAATGGGGAGGAATATGAACAATATAGCTAAAAAAGGCCAAATATTCAGAATTACTTGCTTTTAGTAACTACTTAACACGGCAGATAGACCAAGGAGGCTATGCCCTTATCTACAAGGAAAATATGTGTCATTACTTCCTGGAATACAGAAAGAAAAAAAGGCAATTCCATTAGCCACAGATATTAAAATGCCAGATGGGGGAAGGGGAGCCACTCAATGCCTTCTGCAGGGAGCCTCCTCCATTGTATTAGTGCTTAGTGTTCTAACAGGCTGAAAATGAAGCACAAACTCATCAGAATGATTATTTCTTCTCTTCCTTTTGTGGGAGATGTTCTGAAGGATGCACATCTTTATCTTAATCACTGATTATATTTGCTGTAGTCAGACTCTGTAAAACAAGTGTAACAAATCTATTGCTATGCTGAGTTGGTAGGAGCCCCAGTACTCTGTCCACAAATGTGTAGCTCTGCTATATGAAAAACAGAAAGCCCTCTTTCCCCTGCTGGTGGTTTGAATTGCTCTAATTTGTTCTGGTATTAGCACCAGATGTCATGGTATAAAAGGAAGCCCGACCCAGAAAAAGACATTGCCATTCTGACCTTCTATTGAGTTCTGAGCTCTTGTGCGTTTTTGTCTTCTGAACAAATCAAGCACTCACAAACATGCTGAATAGAGTGGGAAAAACAGCTTGACTTTTCTGAAAGAAGTTACAGACAGAACCGAGATGGCCACTTGCCACTTCCCTTGTCAGGGTGACACCTACAACTATTTGTTTTGCTTTTTTTTCTGTGGGGGTGGGGGGAATGAACCTTCATAACAGCAGGCTTGCTCTTTCCTCCCCCCTCCCCCTGCACCTTTGTTGCTGCTTCTGTTCAGCCAGAAAAAGGTTTTTACTTTTCCTTCAGTTTTTGGAGTCTATATTTCAGGGAAGGCAAAAGCTATACCTTATGGGGCTTTTACTTCTTTAGCAAGATCCTGACATCATTTGTTTGTATCATACAATGAGTGTTTCGTTTATTGTATTTGCAACTCAATTTGTCTTGAGAAAACAGGTTTACATTTGTGCAAAAGCCCAGCAGTGTATCTCAAAGTCAATGCAGCCATATGCCTGCTTGCATTGATAACAGTCTGTATTCATGACAATGGCAGTCAACTTCCACATAATTCACTGGTCTTACCCTTTAAACTATGTTTTTAAATAACTGATGTTTGTCTGGAAATCTGAAAATCCTGTTTACAAGAAGAAGTAATAGAGCTTGGGAACATTAGTTTAGAGATATAAATAGGTGTTCATATGTGTACGTATATGGAAAGTACATGTCTATGTTTGTCTATATATTTACAAAGTCTTGGCAGCTAATCTATTTCAAATCCTTTTATTTATAAAAGACAAAATATTTTGCCACAGCACTTAATACGGAGCATGATGTCATAATAGTACTCACAAGTAAAAGTCATTTAAAAAAAAAGAGGAAAAATTAGAAATCCTGTGCCTGCTTGCTGAGGATGCAAGTACCGTCGGCAATGCAGTCAGAATATAGATTGTCATCTTTTCCCATACCTGGCTCAGATAGATTCAGGGCACATACGTATTGCTCAGCAGAGGGCATAATCTCACACTCCTGTATGATGCTGCCTGCATCCAGTGAGAGTAGAAAAAGAAGGAATAACCACTAGCGAGAAGAGCCAGTGACAGAACATGATGTACATATCACCAATAAGAACATTTTAGAATCAGACTATAGCATTCATTCATACTGATTCATATTTACTTGTTTAAGAAACCCAATAAGGATCTACAGTTTTTTATGATTACACTGAGCAAGCACAATTATATAGATTTTTTATTCAATATAAGATGTTCAAGTGGGAAGATTTTCTTTATGTTGAAATAAAATTTTTCATTCATCATGTTCAAAAGCCTGACAAAATAGACAGACATTAGTGATTCAAGTTAAAAAGAACTGAAAATAAAGAGAATTTTAGGATCTTAACCTATTAATATCTTGGACATTAAAATATGGCTTATTTGTGACTTTTAAGTTCTACTAATTTGCCCCATGAGATTTTGCACAAGTAAACATGGGACAAAAAAATTTCTATGTAATAGAAGTAGTGTGAGGTTTGTTTCTTCATCTTTATGTCACATCTTTTAATGCATATTTATAGCTAAATTTGCATCTTCATATCTTTGCAAAAAATTTTATCATCACAGTAGAATTCGTTAAACTGGATCACTCATTTTGTGTTACTTTTCAATTTTCACAGAAGAAGCAATTTAATGTTCATATCTTTAGCTGTTCTTTGGTTGCCATTTTGATTTTTAAATAGGACACAAATTAAAGATATGTCAGGGTTTCTGGTTTGGATCAAAACTACAGAAAATGAATTAGATGATGAAGGAACTCAAGATAAAGCTAGTAATTCACTTCTGTCTGATTTTTGGAGTACAAAAGGAACACAATCAAGTCAAACCCAGAATGAAATAGTTTGGCTATTTCATCTTGTATCTGATATGATGTTTTCTCAATTAGCAAAGCAACATTCCTTTTCTTTGCATAGCATTGCTGTTCATTCACTGTTAAGTTATTTGTATTAGAGACATTTAAGTCTCTAACATTTAAGTCTCTGAATCCAATATTTCATTAGAATCATCCCTATTATTACAATTCATAAAGCACAGGAGGCCATATATTAATGTGAAATATATTTTTCAGCATGAGAGTGAAGTTTCATGAAGTTACACATACACACACAGAGAAAGAAAATAAAATTGGGAAATATAGTACATGCTGTGCCAACAGTCTTTCTCCAAGGATTCGTACTGTTTGGAGATTTCTTTCAAACAGTTTTCTTTTTTTTTTTTTTCCTCCCCTCCAGTCTCTTCTATTTATCAGCAATCCACTGCTTCTTTTTATTCTTTACAGTACTAACTGACACCCACCAGCAACTGCAAGCTGGGGTCACTAAGGCAATTGCCTGTGTCCTTCTAGAATTGATCACTGATCTGGGAGTATGACACGTATGACAGAGCAAGGTCACTCAACTCGTTTCCTTCAATTTTTCATTTCTAGGCAGGTAGCTACCACTTCAAGGTTCTTCCTCCTTGCCTGTCATGTTACTTCTTATTATACAACTACATGAAAAATAGAGTACTCCAACCTCTGTATGATATTCTTTCCTAAGTATTTCTCTGCTAACAGTTCAGAAACATTCCGGTATGTGTCACTGGATTATATGATTTTAGTTAGTTGCAAGTACTACTATTGGAAAAAAATGCAAAGAAAAAAGATGCTAAATAATTAGGAATGAACTATTAAATCTTAATGAAAACACTGTAGAGGAGTTATACATCTATTGGGATGACACAAACAATAATTCACTGTGAAGTAAAAATTCACTCAGATGTCTATGATATTAACTTTTGCTGATGTAAAGCACTTTTGACTATTCTATAAATGGAACAATCAATTTATCTTCAAGAAAAACAAGCATTTGGAAGTTATGCAATGTCTTTTATTTAATATTGACAAACCTGCATATTAATAGTTAGCCTCATACTCTGACGTCAGTACTTAACTATCAAATATTTAATGTAAAAATATATGTATTTATGTGAATACGTGGAGCAAATTTTGCAGCTCGTTCTTTTGTTTAGTTGGCTTGACATTGTTAATTAATTCTGTATAGAAGTAAATGGCATATTAATTGACAGGTTCCTTAAAGTGTAATTTCTTATCTGACCAGGGACTGAAGCCATAGGGATGTTTATAAATGAATACTAATCCAGAAGTCAAATAAATTCTCTGAAGGAAGAAAAACTATTGCTCATTCTATTTCACTGAATTTCAAAAGCAGAGATTGGATATACAGATAACAGTGGAAGTCAGCCATTGCTTGACCATTTTCATGATCTAGAAAAGATGTTGTAATCAACTCAGATTTTTAAATGAGGTCCAGCTGCTATAGTCAACAGTGCCAACCAAAATCACTGTCATTACTAGCTTTGATGCCAGGCTATCCAATGTTGATGAGTGCTTCCAAAAGACAAGAACAAGAACAGAACAGAAGATTTAAAAGATTTCAGAGTAGAGAGATAAAGTAAAAACAAAACAAAACAAACAAAGAAAAAGGTTGATCGATGTTTCAATTATTGGATTTAAAAACTACTGAAAACTGAAGATGATTTTCATCTAGTTGGTGTAAATCAATCTCTGAGTGTCAATGTGGTGGATAATAAGTAGAAGAACTGTCTGAGGATAATTATTGTAGTTTTGAAAATTGATTTCTGAAACAAATTGTTTTGGCAACATTCTTATGTTAAAATAAAAGATATTATGTTGGCCAGATCCCAGAACTCTGAAATCATAGGAAATGACGACTGGGTTGGACCTTTCCATGTTATTATGTTTTTCCTTTGCGCAAAGACAGTCTTAACTGAACTTAAACATTACTGGCAGATGTTTAAATAATCTGCTCTAAAATGGTAGAACTTCAATTTCATATCTAGACCTCTATAACCCTCAAGCCTTTTCTTATTACATAAAATTGTTAACTGCGTCAATCATTCCTATCCCAGTGACTATTATTTTATAGCAAAGAAATAGTACTTGCGTATTCTCACTGTTGGACAAAATATATGTATATACTCCTGGTATCTGACTTCACACTGTAAGACTTAGAATCAGGTTCTTGTTTGTTTGTTTGTTTGTTTGTTTGTTTGTTTATTCTTACTACCATGATGATCACTGTGAACACTTTACTCTCTTTCATGTATATCTTTTGTTTTTACCTGCAATCTTAGCAGATGTTAGAATATTATGCATTTTTAAATTATATACTGTAGTATACTACCTTGCCACAATTAATGTCTTTATAAAACACCACAATAGCTGTGCGGGTATTTCAAAATATTCTATATCATAAGCTTTTTATCAGCCCTGTGGAAAAATTGCCCTATCTATAATATGCTCTTATTTCATTTGTGATTTAACAGCATTCAGATATAATGTTCTTTACTTATTTACCTATCATATTCCTGGAGTGTTGCCTTTATCATGATATTTTCGTTTAATTTAAAATTTCAAACAGCTCGCTCTCAATTTAAAGATTGCTCGCTATCATATTTTCCATGCTGCCAACTTGTATCTAAATTGTTACACTATTTATCCCTGAGATTGTGAAAGCCCAAACCTATTTTTTTGTTATGGTTGGGTTGCTCCCAGAACAAACAAAGAAAGGCACTTTTGCTTCATATGTTAAAATGTGACCAAAACAAGATAACACAAGTAAATGTGTTATGATTAAATACAGAGAGAACATTTCAGGTTTCTGCAGTTATAATAAAATAAATAAACCTAAGTGGATGGATTTCTCAATCTTCCCTATTTCTGCTTTAGAGAATCTTAGTGAAAAGATCTGTTTGTGAAACTTGAAATGTTTTGAAGAAGGATATCAATTTCTGTTGTCATCAGAAGCTTACTGAACACCAGAGTCCACAGTTCCTCTCTGCAGAGACCTCCTCCATCAGTTACTGAACATTAGACTAAGGACCCTTTCAATCGTAGTTTGCAGTTTGAATATAGGTTGCATTGGAGTTTCAATTCAATTGATTTAATTTCTGTCTTTTTCTCCTGTCCTTTAAAATATCATTGTATGACCATTTTCAAAAGTTTTTAAAATGCACAAATAAAGAACTCACAGGGAAAAGAAGCTGAAAATATTTGAGGACGTAGAGAAGGTATTTTGTAGGGCATTTTATGAGGGCATTTTAGCAACCTTGAAATCAATGTTGACATAAATGATGCATAAAATAATAGTCAGAAAGTACCAAGTATATGTAGTGATCAAGAAAGAAAGTAGAAGAAACAAATAGAAATGTACTTATGGCAGAAACCAGATTAAAAAAAAAAACAAAAAAACAAACAAACAAAAAAAAACAAACATAAATAAAAGATTTATTAAATCTAAGGTAATATTAATATTGATAGGATCTTGGATGAAAGTTTGGCTAGATTGCCTTAGAATAAATTAATAATGTTGTATCAAGAAAAAATATCTCTATATTAGTAGGTCAAAACCAACAGTTAAGAAATAATATTGATAAAGCCTAAAGTGAATTATTTATCTTACAAGACAGTAGTATGTAGTAGCATCAACAGTTGTAGGAAAGAAAATAACACTTTCTACTGCCTTGTGCCCTGGAAAGAAAATCAGTGCCAGTGAATTGCAACAGAGACTTTGTCCTCCCCCTCTCTATATTTTTCCTTCTCCCATGGTTGGGGTGCCTTCTTTGACATTGCTCATCCATCTGCAGAAGCTATCCCCTCACCTTGAGGGTTAAGTGCTTGTCAATAGATGCCTTGTTTCAGAATAAGGCAGCCAGGCATGAATACATTGGGATGGAAGAATCAAGATGCTTTTTATACAAAGTTCTGATTTATTTCTTTGTTGGGAATTTGAAAAGTTTTACAATTATCCTCATCAGTGTTCACTCACGCGACTTCAGTAAGTAAAATAACTGGGTATAAGCATGTTGTGGCTAAGAGAACATGACAGCGAGCTACAAGATTCATTACCTATTAATTTTGCTGGTTTATTTTAGTAAGCAATTTATAACTTTTCCAGTATATCTTTTAC